ACTAACTACTCTCTCTCTCTCTCTCTCTCTCTCTCTCTCTCTCATGGTCATCATGGTTTGCCAAATGTGTCCATCGGCTTTGATCTTTACGAAAGGCATGTGCATGTCTGGGCTATATATTGTGTCGGGTCATGTCCTCAGCTGGTGCGTGGGTGAAACGTACGTGCGGGCCGTGTGGGCGGGACCGGAAGGCATGGACGGTGGGGTTGGAGACAAGAGAATAGCTCGTGTGAGGTGGTCACTGGTCAACCGATGGCTTCGACGTCGGACATGCAAACCCACACTGAAGCGTCTCATTCTCCACACAGTGAGTGTGTCCTCTGTGATATCTTTAGGGTAGGGGAGGTGTTCAGCCCGTGAACCCAACGTTGCTGCTGCTGCAACACCATGTCCCAAGGACGCTTGAGGCCAATCAATTGGTCTTGTACACAATCACCTGTGTGGGTCCACCCAATCCCTCCATCTATTTCTTCCTGATCTTGACATGCATTATACCTACATATAATACCGACAAGATTAAGCAACTTCTTCTGCTTTACCCTAAAGATTGATAGAGAGAGGGTGAGAGAGAGAGAGAGAGAGGTGCTTTTCAGCACATACATATTTCGAGCTTAATTTACCTATGTTGATGTATAACATTGTGGCTCTACCCATGCAAAATTGACATTTTTGGCTATTTTGATATCAAGTTTCATTTCTTTATGAACATCTTTGATATAACTATATATATCTAAGCATGGTTTGATCGATTATAATATATATATATATTTCCAAAAAAAAAACATTGTAGATTGATTTTGATCTTCCTTGTTTGATTCTACTGAATATTGTCTCTTGATGTTGAAAATTCTAATCCCCTGCATGCTGATGAGAATGCATGGCTGGCTCTCAGCTAGGATGTGTTACTTCAATTTGTAGATTGATGAAGGCATGGCAGCCATTCAACCAAATCAGTCATGCTAAAAGAGCATGATTTGAGCTGCAATGTCTTTGTCATCTATGTAGAGGACTTTGAGTATGGTGTTGAACATGAAAGGTGTTGCCTCAAGAAAAGAAAAGAATCTTTGTGTGGTGTACATCAGCAGCCGATCTATCTCATATCTCAGCCATAGTCCTCCATCTCTCCAACATGACTATGCTACAAAGACAAGTACTAGAAACTGAGGGACCCCATGAGGGGGCGGGGGGATACTAAAACTTAGTGCAAGAGGGTCTATGTAAGTACTACTCCATTATTGTTGCTTCTGTTCTTGATTCTTTCTAGACCCTAACATTTTCCTTGATTCCATCAGCAGACAGCCACCCAGCTCATGTACAGAGTTCAGCCAAAGAAGACACCATTTCATCTCCACAGTACAAACACTGGACAAATTGGACCATTCCAAGAAGCTATCACTACAGCACAAGTATCAATCTTACTGTAATCAAAAAATCTCAAGCCACCTGCATGTGTATCACAAGGGAAGGATGATAGAGTAATCTCCTATAGGGGGATAAATTATGGAGAAGGAAGAGAAGACAAGCGCAATCTCAGCCTCCACAAGTTTTTCGTGGGTTGTGTTCCCAATAACTCCTCCTCTACAAGCTACTTGGGATATAGCGGTGGGAACTCATCTCTCTCGTCTCAGCCCTATCTCTCAGCGGCAGGGATGGCTGTCTCTGCTGTCTCGTTCCCTTTTCTCCACCGTCTTATGAGCTTCTCTCCACGTAAACCACCTCACATCTTCATATATAAATGCAGACGCACACACCTCGAATGAACGCAGATGCCTCTCTCTCTCTCTCTCTCTCTCTCTCTCTCTCTCTCTCTCTCGCTGAGTGTGTGTTGAGGTGATATGTAACGTAGAGCTGTGAGATTAAGATACATATCAAAGCAGGATATGGAGATGGCCGGGATCCAGTGTCAGGCCAAGGCAAGCACAAGTCCACGGCTTAAGCTCTTCGGATTCCACGTCTGCGACAACGACAACACCGCGGACGGATCTGGCGACGTGGCGGCAGTAGAGAGCCCATCCTCTGGCTCCGGCGGCGTCGCCGGCAACGGAGATGGGAGGAAGTACGAGTGCCAGTACTGCTGCCGCGAGTTCGCCAACTCCCAGGCTTTGGGAGGCCACCAGAACGCCCACAAGAAGGAGCGGCAGCAGCTGAAGCGCGCCCAGTTGCACCATCACCACCACTACCTCGCGGCGTCCGGCCACCGCTCACTCCCTGGTAACTTCTACCACCAACCCGTAGCCTCCGCCTTCGCCCCGCCGCCCCACCTCCTCTCCCTTCCTCGTCCACCTCCTACGGCCACGACGCCGGTCGTGGGTTCCCAGGCGACTGCCGCCGGTAGCTTGGTCTACTACGCTCGCAGCGCGCCACCCACCCACCTGTCGCGTACCTGCGTCGTCCCGCGGGCCCTGCAAGCCTACTACTCCTACGGCGTGTACGGCGGCGGTGGAAGCTGCTACGACGACGGCAAATCGGCCGGTGGGCCGGGGTTCTCCGGAGCGGCCCCAGCTGACGATGGGGCGGAGGATTCGTACGGGTTGGACCTGCACCTCAGCCTGGCGCCCGCTGGTTCATGACTCGGTCTCGACTCGGCCAAGCTCTCGCATCTTCCTTTTTATCTTATGACTGAGTTTTGATCGTTATATGCTGAATTCTATCGCAAATTTAGCTCTGTAAATTGCTAATTTCCAAAATTTTCATATGTTTTCTTGCTCCGATTGGATATTTTCATCACTATAAATCATTAACAAGACGAAAAAAAAAAGCAGAAAACTGTGATGAATGAGCCAAACCGAGTTGGCGAGTCGACTCGTGGTCTCGGACGAGTGAGTGGGCTGGCTGGGTCGGACGTTTCCCCCTCTGCTGCGACAGCGTACGACGGCCGACACGGTCGATCAAAAAATGACGTCAGCGCGATATGGAAAGGACACGAGGCGTTCGATGGCATGAAGTACAAACGAAGTGGCTGGGACCACCCTTGGACCGGATCCCCACGATCTCCTTGGGGAATCCTAAGTACCATTTACCATAAGGTGTGACGCGGGACTCGTACGTGTGTTGTTTGTCCTCTCCACAGCTCCATCAAAGAAATTATAAATCATAAGAATAATAAAATCAAGTAAACAAAGGTATTATTATATCCGGAAATTTGTTATTTTACATCTAATCTCTTAGCAAAATTATGATGTAGTCTTTCTTGTTACATCACAAATCCTATATTAGTTGTTAGTTATACATGATATTGTAAGAATAACCTCAATTATTAGTGAATTAACCCATAATTAAAACGAAAAGAATAACTTGAGAGAGAGAGAGAGAGAGTAGGAAGCGTACTAATTTGGTGGCAGGAGAAAGAAAATGTAGACATCTAGAAGGAAGAAAACAGGTCACTCAGAAGTATTTGGTTAGCTGAGCGAAGACTCGCAGTCAAAAGAAAGTCCAACGGAGATGTCCCAGGATTGGATCATCTTATGATACGTATCACCTGGCTTAAAAGTTTTTGACTGATTTTTCTTCTAAAGTTAGGCTTTGAATCTTTAGTTCATATGCATCTGCAGTCTCTCGTACATCATGGTGTCCAGTAGACATGGTTCAATCTCTATTTGTCATAGATCAGCTCAAAACTATTCAAGAAAAAGCTACGTCTGGATTGTTTGGTGAAGACTTTTAACATTTCAGTGACAATAACAGAGCACCCATGCAGCATAATGTGTATCACGAGGTGTTTATATAGATAAAGCACCTATAATTGGCCTCAGGTGATTTCATGGGCCTAAGTTGACAGCAATAGCATCTGTAGCATATATATGGATAGTTATGTGTATATGAACTATAAAGGTAGGATTTAAAAGGTCTTGGCAGAATTACCTTTGGAGATAAGAACTGATGTAGTCCAGCTTCATGCCATCATCACCTTCCCTTGATATAGACCTTTCAACCTACAAGATCTGCAAAGCATCAGGTGTTAAATTTTGCGGACAAGAGTCAGTACGGCCTCCAATTAAATTTGATATGAAGTCATTGTTCTCCACAGTATGGTATGTTATCTCAAACAGAACTTATTAAAGCACTCTGCAGGTTCATTCAAAAGAGTACCTTCCTGTTATTCTTTTGCCTGCAAGATACTGATGCATATCTTGTGCAAGTCTGACATCAGAAAGAGGGATGACGGAAGAGTTTGATGGTGAAGACTCCACAGTGCTGGAGTGGCCAGCTTCAAGGGGCATTGATGGGTCCGTAGCCATATTCCATGGTTTCAATCATGACAGCCGCTAGATGACTACTCCAGCTATATATTAAGCTGAAACATAAAAGAAAAATAATGACAGCAACTTGAGACTGTGTCCAGACGTGAGAATTCGATTCTTTTTATGTGAAATAACATGGAGGCTATGGAGTTAATTTACCAAAGTTCAGTAGAGTACAGAGTCGCATGCATTCCAACAAGTTTGGTCTTTAACTTTTTACCTTGTATTGTGCCAAACATTTTAGTCAAAACTAGGTTGCTTTTCCCACACCTATTAATTTCTGGATCCACTTGACAACCTACAAAGTGCAGTGGTTGGAAGTCATAAGAAGTGTTGACATATGTGATAGTTTCCTTGAAGCCTTACCTTTAGCTTTTGATAGGCCAGGCATCTGGAGAAAGTACCAAACACTTCACCATGGATCCTCTGCGGTGTTTCTTGACTTAAACCCACCAAGAAATGTGTTCCAACCAACTTTCACAAACCTGCATCATCAAGAGAATAAGTTTCAGCGATTCAAACATCAGATGATGGTGGTGGTGGGAGGAGTGTCCATATTCTTTTGCTGGTCTTTTTCTAGGTGAGGCTTCTCCAGTCCACACCCAACCCCTTCACGTTTCCATGACTGGTAAGAGAAGGACATGGCCTCGCCTTTCTCTTGTGAAATAAGCAACTTGCACCACCCAGGTTGGGTTGAGTAGCTTTCTCTGAAGACGGCCACCAAAGAGACATATCTATAAAGGCAAGATACGCAAGGGGGCCATTAATAGCTGTGTAGGCTCTCTATAACCCATCCCCAACTCCCAGTCGGGTGGCGATGGAGATGGGAGATGGCCCACCAATACGATGGCAACAGGGACATCAGGGCCCACAAAGATAATCCTGGGATCAAGGTTTTGTCTTGGAGCCTGACAAAAGGAAATCCAAAAGAGAGCCTATTACGTGGAAGTACTTGCAGTGCAGGAGAAGAATAAGGAGACCTAAAGTACACAATTAGAAGAGTCCACATGGAGTTTGGAACTTGAAAGGAGGATTGGGCACTGAAAAGTTGTGAGAGTAGGAAGAAAGAAGCTTCTTTCTTGTGCCTTTGACATTATACAATCATGCATGATGAATGGGTACACCTACTGTTTACGCCTAATACCACCAGTATTTCTTTCTCGTTTCCACCAAAAAGAAAAAAAAATTTAAAAAACAATTGCTCGGTCAAGCCTAACAATGAGACTCTGACAACTAAAAAGGAAAAAAAAACATAGTAATTAAAGCAATTATTCTTCACGATTAAGCCCGAACAATTAGTATGAGCATCAACAATCAATGATGGAGGTCTTTAACCATAACTGGAGAAAATTCATTAAAGTCGATAGAATTGACGGCAGCTGCAGAAGAACCTTATTTATGAATGAATCATGGCATCTTTAGTACTCCACGCAGATCTCTTAAATGACGCTCACTTTCTTAATAGTTCCGGTCCACTAAAAGGTATACAAACTATTTTATGAACAAAACCCACTAGTTAACATGTGATGAGCTTAGAAATATCAAAATCAAGATCAATTGATGAGCGTCTCAATGTATTCAAAATTCAAATGGCATAATTGGTTATAACTGGGAAGATAACTTTCTCAGTCCACAAAGGCTAGATGAAAGGGTCGGATGTTTCAGTGGAACCTCTAAGAGCCACAAAATAGAACAGCTGTAATTAATGTAATTAATTGTAGATTTCCACTCTTAAAGATTGAAATTTTCCACAAGCTGACACCGCAAGATATCAGACTCTGGAAAAGTATGTCTCACAAGTTTTGTGTCAACAGTGTAGATAAAACAACAGGTGGCACAAAATCAGAAAGCAACAATTCATCTTAAGGAAAACAAATATGGCAAACTTCAAGAGTCTACCATGATTGGCGAAAGCAAAACATAATGTTCCTACAAATCTCACACCTTAGTTCTAAGATATGTATATTACTCTTATCAAGTATGTCCTGAGACTCGAACAATTGTCCATGAGGAAAATAGCTAAGATGGACAGAAAGGTTTGTAGTCGTACCTCTTACAGATTTCAAAAACATCACATAAATAACCTTAGGATATATCATCGCAGCCAGATATGTCTTTTGCCTTTTGAATATGGCATGCCGATCATCCCCACCAAACATGCCTGGGTAAAATTGTCAATACACTGATTAACATTTTCCAAAAGAACTTAACAATAAAACTGCTTAGGAATGAGACATTTCAGCTTTAATGAATTAATGAAAACCAAAGTTCAACTTTACAAGCACGTACAAAGGCCAGACAAAAGAACATATGATAGCGAAACTCACAAAACTTACAGAGCTCAAAAATAGCATAAGGAGGTTATGATAAAACTTCGAGAGATTCACAGGGTGATCTTACATGTATGGCAAACAATGAAAAACTGGCAACTTTCTCCTAGCATAAGACTCTCAATATAACACATCATTTCACAGTAGAGCTGATCAGCCCTTCCTATCAGAATGGTTAAGATTGAGATTAAACCATTTTTTTTTGTTCAATTTATTTTTCACATCAAGACTTCCATTTGGGCTGCCAAATCTGATATCCTCATCAGGAGTTTTGCAACTACTATTAGCATCACCACTAGAATTGATCACACTTCTATGTATCGTAAATGAGGAGAGTATATTATCTCTTTGTTTCAACAGCTCGTCGACCTGCAATGAATCGTACATAAACACAAAACTGTTAATATTCTCTGAAAATAACTAACCTCAATTAGGTTGAAGTATTGCATCATGAATAATTGAAGTAGCACAATTAACAAGTGATGAACATACACAATCTAACTCCAGAAGAGTGTAAAAAGAATGAAGCATGAAGATTTTAATTTCATTTAATTTGGTTGAAGCTACTGACAGATTTCATCCTTGAAACTGGATCACAAATACATGGTCCAAATAGATAGCAACATTGAGAGTGACCCAATGAACAAGACAAGCCTCGAAGGAGCTGTGGATGGAGCCATCAGTGACACCAGCCAAGATCTAGTGATTTGGGGGAGAGGCTACAAAACAGGAGGTATTGTGGAAACAAAGATGAAGATTCACCAAGAAAGGAACTTGTTCTTGTATATTAACTGCTATTGTATACCTTGTTCAAACTCAACAGAGAAGTGTCCAGTGTCATAAAAGTAGTATATTTGCATGCAGAGAAGATTGATGATCATGTAACTCTACCAAGAAAAAAGTTTTAAACCCTCTTGATAAATAACTTAAATGTTAAAATATGTAGAATAGAAAAAGAACTCCATCATTTGAATGAAATTTAATGTATCATTTATTCTACAGTTGATTATAGAGGATTAAGGTATGAGATATGAAAAGCAGAAACATCTGATGTTAAAAAGACGGCAACTCCTTGTAATTCTGATCTTCTTCAAGAAACTTTGGGCGTATTAGAATAAGAAGATGTGATGGTTCGAAT